CGCTTCTCGATGCGGAGAGACGGGGCTCGTCTGATGTTTAAATTATCGTTAACTCCGCGAGTCCGATGAAACGCGATTCTTCGCGTCAGCAAAGACGATAACATACCACGCTCTTCTTTTTCCGCTAAACAAAAATCTAAAAAAAAAAAAAAAAAAAAAAACGAAACGCGGTGACGCGCTCAAGAAAACTCGCACGATGATGATGACAGTGAACGGACGTGATTAATTTCGAAGAGAAAATGATCTTTTTGTTACATTTCTCGATCCATCATCCGGCGAACAATAAGCGTGTCCTGGCGTCTCGCCCGTTTCATTCTTATGCTCGCGCACAATCGTTATAAGTCGTCATACATCAATGTTATTTACATATCAACAATGGATTTACCCGATGATAGCCCCGTTTCTACCCGATATACGCTTATTAAACATTTTTAATTGCATAAATCGGGACGTAATTGCGTGCTTTAAAAGCTTGCACGAAATCCCCGCATCACGCTGCGCCACACACATAAATATATCCTCGCTTATTCTTATTCTGTAAAATACGAGCAAAATATCGCAATGCGAAGCGTACACGATAGCTGTCTGGCGGTTAGAAATTTATTATGTGGTCGCTTAATTTATTGCCCGAGAGCTGTGCGCGCACGGTGAGACTTACGAAAAAACGCGTTATGGATTTAATAACTTGATAACTCGCGATATACGTAGGCGTAATCGCATTCGATGTAATCTTATCTGCCAAGCGTGAGGAAGCGCTCTCTTTTTTTCTTCTTTTTTTTCTCGTTATTTAATCGAAATCGCGGAAGTTGCCTGTTTATTATTGATTTATTATTATTTACGATACAAACCCCGCCGATTTTATTTGACAGACTTTTCCATCGCGGCCAGTCGATATTAATTAAGTTTTCTTCGTTTGCCACGCCATAAACGGGAGCACGTGTTATAGGCGAGCGCGCGCGTAATTCGAGAGCCGACAAGCGTAAAACACTTGAAAAACGCAAGATTAATGGATTTCGTAGTCAGCGGGATACTTTTTGCCGCGCGGTGAAAATCGCACGGTGACAAAAAAGAGGCACTTACGCGAGCACGTACAACAATCGCTAGATATCGCTCGGTTTCCGTATATATCGTAGTAATTTGAAGCCGCGCGGGCTTGCCAGGTGAGTTGTCATATTAATTATGTCAACGTGCGAAAGAGTTCGACGACGGTGAAACGTCGATACACGCCCCTGTAGGAATTAATCCCGCTCGAGCGACTTCAGAAAATTTATTCGCTTTCCCCGTTCGTGTCTTTTCGCAATATTTTCACATGTGATTACCTACTCCGCCAGTTCCAACCGTCACTGAAACGTATTTCCTCTGTATCTCTCGTCTAGCCGTGTATTTTCTCCCCGTTGCTCTTTTGCCTCCTTCCTACGAGGAAATAAATGTTTATCCGAGAGGCGGCGAAACCGCCCACTTCCGGCCGAACACGTCAATTAAAAACACATGTAAGGACCGCGCGCGCGGGACCGTGCGTGTGTTCGCTCATCGAGCACTCCCGTCATCTCTCTAATGACACTCGTGCCGTTAATCTACACCGGTGTACTCATCCCATGCGCGGCGTATTACAAGCGCGACAACTCAATCGAGATGAAGCGAGGCGCTTTAAAACCTACGCCGCGCTTATTAATATTCCGCGGTTGTACCGTAAGTGGTTACGTCTGTTACTGACACGGCGCGCGATCGCCCGAGAGCGACCGCTACACCGATGCTTGTACATAATTTACACATCGCGGCGCGTTCTCGTTGTCTACTTCGAATACATACGGGAAAATTCAGTTTGTTTGTCCATAAGTCACAACACTGCCGTTAACATTTCTAGACTTGTTTTCATAATAATTTTCGTGCCAGAAGTTCAGAGTAACGCAGACATGTTTGTTCGAGTTGTTTCAAATTTTCGTGGGATCGATAACAGGTGAGAAATTTTCTGAACTAGTATTACGAATCCGTTTGTTTTTCGTTTGTTTTTTTAAATAGATTTGACGTATCACTTCTGTTTTACGTGCTTATTAATCATTATAATTTAGTGCAATGCCCTCCCGTTCTGTCCAAATATCGATTGAAAACAACGATATCGACAGATACGCGTCAATTCGCATTCTAATATACACGCAAAGCGTGCTCGCGTCTCGCTTGACAGATATTCCCGTCGGGCTAATTACCAATTCCGCGTCGCGCATTAATGAACTTGCTTTGATTTTCCCCGCCCGACCTATCATTCCGGCTGTGGGTCTTCTCTGCGCTCTCACGAAGCGTCGACTTCGGTTTCTGTGTGAAAGACGCGCCCGCAGAGAAGGATAAAGCTAGTCGTGCAGATTAAGCGGATTTGCAGAGCTTACGCGCCACTGCCATATTTTCGGTCGAACACGTTACAAAGCTCGAGGTGAGTTAATACATTAATCAGCGTAAAAAGAAATAGCGTACTGCAAATTGCAGACTTCGCGAAACTACTCCGCGATGAGTTGTTCACACGCGACAGATTCAACAGAAAAACATAACATAGCTGAGCGTCTAACGACAGTATCATCTTCCATACCTACTTTGAGATTACGATTCTATTGTTTGCGAAAGATGAGAGAGAGAGAGAAAGAGAGAGAGAGAGAGAGAGAGAGAGAGAGAGAGAGAGAGAGAGAGAGAGAGTACTTTTTAAATCGAACTCT